CTGTTAGTTTGCCTTTTTATCTTAATCCAGATGCTTTCAACACTTGTGTTATTTTCAGTCCAATGGATCTATAGGTAAGTTCATTTCTGATAAATAATGCTACACCATCTCCTCTGTTGTGTTGCCTGTTCCTCTGAAACAAAGTTTATCTTTCATGTCCAATTTCCAGTGGTGGAATTCATCTCACTATGTTTCTATAATCCCTTTATGTCACACTTGCCTTTGTGCCTCATGACATCCAGCTCATCTTGCTTGTTAACCCATACTTTGTGTATTAGTGTAGAAACATTCAATATAATTAGTTGGATTCCCTGTGTTCAATCTCTTTTCCTTTATGCCTGTCTTATATTTATTTCTTTGTCAAACTAGTAATTTTCACAAGATTTCACTTTGCTTCTGTATAGTCTATTATTTGCCAATTCATGACTTCAGTCATCATACAAGTCCGTATCAATGGGAAATTACACAACACAGTTCTTATATTGGTTTTATCCCATTACATTCTATACTAAGAAGTACAGGCTATTTGAATAATTGCTTTACAGTCAAGACAAGGAAATAGAGGGTGTCATCTGGCACTTATTTGCCCAGAGCAGAAAGGCTGGCATCAGTAATCAAAGGCACAGATATCAAGTAAATTACACATATGTGTTAGCTTATCAAAGATATGGATGCCCCACCAATTACTCCTTCGTGTTGTTGTAACAGTGTAGCTCTCTTGTGCTATGAACATGGGAAATCCTGAATGTTTCTACACTCTGTTATCCTTGAGTAAATCAGTGTAACTGGAGGGCAGCTGATCTACATATCAAAATTTCTATGGACACTGGGAAGTTGCGAAAAGATGCCTTACTAGTGTCAGGAAGATTTGCTGCTTGCATGACAATTTGACCTTGCTTATGTATGAGGCTTATGTATGAGGGAAGGATGCCACAGAGTAAGCAGTTTATCTGAATTGCCAACCATCACAGCCTTTCTATGTTCTATGCAACTGAACAAATTATTGGGTATGCCTTTTAACACTACAAGAAGCAATGAAAAATAATGCTTTTTCTCTGCAACCCTTCAAATATACCATCAATAACGTGTGGTTAAAGACTATATGAAATCTTCAGTAAAAGGTGAAAGATGTATACAATCTAAAGAGAAACCAGTATATTTTTAACTGTTAGCTTCTTACTGAACAGAACAAGCTAAATGGGGTTATTTATTAACAGTGCTCTCACAAAGTTCAACTCCTTTTAATGGCAATTGAAAAGCACCATGAGGCAAAATCTCTTACATCCTAGCAAACCAAAGCCTAATTATGTATATTTTAAGCACTTATAAATAGCCCCCAAATTAAAATATAAGGTTATTTCAGGGAAAATGTATCAAGCAAATTTTAGTCTTTGCAATTTTAGTCTTTTACAACTGTTCCTAGCCCCTGACACAGTTATATCGGAATACAGATTTCACTATCCCCAATCTGCGTAATTCCCTCAAGACATGTCAGTGTGAACTGGGAATCAGAGGGCTTATATAGTTATAGCAAACTGTTATGGGAACTAATAAGTGAAACATTATTAATACTACTATTATTATTACTATAACAGTTAGGCTATTTTAATGGTATAAATGGTACAGTATAATGATATTATACTGTAATTCCATAAGAGTGTATGGCTTATCATGATGTTAGAGCTAATCACTATGGTTTATTCAACAAAATATGATTAAAATGAACAATAGTTTAATGTGATAGATATATCCAGACTATGTTTAAAGCAGGTAATAACACATTGCAAGAAAAATCCTGTACTTTAATCAGATGGTACCATTTTAGATTTAAATATGAGAAAACAAAAATTTTGGTATTGGAAATAGAGGTCACAATTCGCTACAAGATTCACTGGATGTATTATGATCAAGAATTCCCCGCCCCCCCATGGAATATATTTTAAATATATGCATTACAGTCCTTAATAATTCATAAAAAGACATATATTCTTATGAATATGTCAAACACCTTTGTTAAAAAATTAAGGTTATTTATCTTCTAGCTAGAATACACAGCAAATACGTTAAAAAGATCACAATAGTTGTTCACTGCTCCAGTTTGATGAAATGCTAAAGAATATCAGGAACAAACATCTAGTTTATGCTTATTAATTGCTCTCAGGAAGCCACTTCCCACAATTCAGTTAGCAATAGGTCCAAACCAGGATCTTTTCCTTGTTCTTCTCAATAAGAAAAAGCAAGGTATGATTTTGATTGCTGGTGTGGGTCTTCCGGGCTGTGTGGCCGTGTTCGGGAAGTTTTGTTTCCTAATGTTTCGCCAGCACCTGTGACTGGCATCTTCAGAGTGCAGGAG